TTTGTTCATTTTTTTCCTTTGTTTCTCTTGTCCTAGGAGATATATTGGTGAAAATACTGCTATGTGAGTTATCTGATATTTTACTGCCTATGTTTTCTTCTAGGATTGTTATGGCTTTGCCACTTACATTTAAGTCTTTTATCCATTTTTGTGTTTATTCTTGTGTGTGGTGTCCGTTGTTGATCTGGTTTCATTTTTCTGTATGTACCTGTCCAGTTTTCCCAACACCATTTATTGAAGAGACTGTCTTGACTCCATTGTATGCTCTTGCCTCCTTTGTCAAATATTAATTGACCATATTGGTGTGGGTTGATTTCTGGGTTCTCTGTTCTGTTCTATTGGTCTGTATGCCTGCTCTTGTGCTGGTATTGAGCTGTTTTGAATACAATGGCTTGTAGTATAGTTTTATATCTGGTTTTGTGATCCCTCCAACTTTGTTCTTCTTTCTCAAGATTGCTGAGGCTATTTAGGGTCTTCCATATAAATTTTTGGAATATTTGTTCCTGATCTGTGAAAGATGTCATTTGTATTTTAATGAGAATTACATTGAATATATAGATTGCTGGGTAGTATGGACATTTTAATGATGTTAACTCTTCCAACCCATGAAATCGGTATATACTTCTACTTGTTTGTATATTCCTCTACTTCTTTTCTCAATTTTCAATAGTTTTTTGAGTATAGGTCTTTTACCTCCTTGGTTATGTTTATTCCTAGGTATCTTTTTTTGTTGTTGTTGCTGCAATGGTAAATGGGATATTAAAATATTTTTATTTTTGTTTATTTTTTGTTAATCCTCAAATGAGGATATTTTCCATTGATTGTGGGATAGTTACACAAATCTACATGTGATAAAACTGCATGCACACGTGATACGTACACACACACACACACACATACACACATACTGTACATGTAAAATGAATGAAATCTGAATAAGCTCTGTGAATTGTACCAATATCAACTTCTTGGTTTTGATATTGTACTACTAGAGGCCCAGTGCAAGGATGGGGGAAGGAGGTGTCCCTCAGCTCAACTTGAACCCTCTCCAATCGGGGACCCCTCAGGGGATGTCCAACTGCCAGGATCACTGGCTCCTAACTGCTCACCTGCCTGGCTGCCTGATCACCCCTAAATGCTCCCCCTGCCTCCCTGCCAGCATAGTCACCTCCAACTGCCCCCCACCCCCCCACACCGCCAGCCTGGCCGCCTTTAACTGCTCTCCCCACTGGCCTGGTCTCCCCCAACTGCCCCCCTGCCAGCCTGGTCACCCCCAACTGCCCCCCTGTGGGCCTAATTGCCTCAGGCAGCCTGCTGCTCAGTAATTTGGTTACCCCTCACTAAACCCCCTCCCAGCCTGGTCACCCCAGGCAGCATGAAGCTTGGTTGTTTGGTCACCCCTCACTAATCCTCCTGCTGGCCTGATCACCTCACACAGCCTGTTTGGTCATCCATTCGGTTGTTTTGGATGCTATGGTCATATGTGTGTGTATATGACCATTAGATGCCCTGTGCATAAAATTCATGCACAGGGGTGTGTCCCTCAGCTCAGCTTGCACCCTTTCTAATCTGAGACCCCTCGAAGGATGTCCTACTGCCAGTTTACAGAGGGATTGGGTCTAAACCAGCAGTCAGACATCCCTCTTGCAATCTGGGACTGCTGGCTCCTAACTGCTCACCTGCCTGCCTGCCTTCCTGATTGCCCCTAACCACTCTGCCTGCTTGCCTACTCTCCTCCAACTGCCCCCTGATGCTGGCCTGCTTGCCCCCAAATGCCCCCCATCAGCCTGATCACCTCCAACTGCCCTCTGTGCCAACACTGACACCCGTTGCTGGCCTGCTTGTCCCAAACTTCCCTCCCCACTGGCCTGTCACCCTTAACTGCCCCCACTGTTGGCCTGCTCACTCCGAACTTCCCCCCACCGCTGTCTCGATCACCTCCAACTGACCCCCACTGATGGCCTGCTCGCCCTCAACTGGCCCCCCTCTGCTGGTTTGCTTATGCCCAGTTGTCCCACCCCCCACCAGCCTGATCACCCACAACTGCCATCCCATCCTGGCCTGATCACCCACAACTGCCTTCCCCTCTTGGCCTCAGTCCTGCCACCACGGCTTTGTCCAGAAGAATATCCGGAAGGTCTCCTGGAAGATCTCCCAGTCAAATTAGCATATTACCCTTTTATTAGTATAGATTAGGGGTGTCAAACTCAATCAGAGAAGGGGCCAAAATCTAAAATCCAGCCTAAATCACGGGCCGAATGGTTTACTGAACAGTCATAAACTGTCATTGTGATGGAAACGCAGTGGAGTGCAGTGATGACAGCTCGGTGCGGGCCACATTGCAAAGCCTGACGGGACGGATTTGGCCCTCGGGCCTTGTGTTTGACACATGTGGTATAGATAGTTAAGTTACCAAAGATGTCAACATCAGGAAAAAGTGGCTGAGGGTCACAGGACCGCTTGCACGTTTTTGTTTGTTTGTTAGTTTTGGAATTACCTGTGAACGTATAATTACTGTAAAATAAGAGTTTAAAAAGTGGGTTTGGTGTATTTACTTAATGTATTTATTTCCTGATGTGTCTGAGCTGGGCTTTTTTTTTTTTTTTTTTTTTTTTTGAGATCATATAAATCAGTATATTTGAAAGCAGGGAAGGAAGGAAAACCAGCATTTGCTGGGTGCTTGTTCTGGGCCTGATAATTCACACATGTGATCTTTATTTTTATTGTTCTATTTTTTTTATTTTTTTTAAAATAATAAATCTTTATTGTTCAGATTATTACAGGAGTTCCTCTTTCCCCCTCCCCCATAGCTCCCCTCCACCTGATTCCCAACTCCACCCTATGCCCTTACCCCCACCCGTCTTCATCTATAGGTGTAAGATTTTTGTCCAATCTCTTCCAGCACTCCTCAGACCCCTTTCCCCTGAGAATTGTTAGTCCAATTCCTTTCTATGTCCCTGATTCTATTATATTCACCAGTCCATTTTGTTCTTCATATTTTAAAAAATATATATTTTATTGATTTTTTACAGAAAGGAGGAGAGAGGGATAGAGAATTAGAAACATCGATGAGAGAGAATCATCGATCAGCTGCCTCTTGCACACCCCCTACTGGGGATGTGCCCGCATCCAAGGTACATGCCCTTGACCGGAATCAAACCCGGGCACCTTTCAGTCCACAGGCCGATGCTCTATCCACTGAACCAAACTGGTTTCGGCTGTTTTTCAGATTTTTTATTCACTGGATTTTTAGATTCACTTGTTGGCAGGTATGCATTTGATGTCTTTTTGTTGTTCATAATTTTTACCTTTACCTTTTTCTTCTTCTTTCTCTTCTTAAAGAATACCATTCAGCATTTTATGTAATCCTGGTTTGGTGTTGATGAACTCCTTTAACTTTTTCTTGTCTGTGAAGCTCTTTATCTGACCTTCAATTCTGAATGATAGCTTTGCTGGGTAATCTTGGTTGTAGGTTCTTGTTGTTCATCATTTTGAATATTTCTTGCCACTCCCTTCTGGCCTGCATAGTTTCTGTTGAGAAATCAGCCAATAGTGTGAGGATAGTGTAAGGAGCCTCTGGGATGGCTTAAAGCGTACCAACATCCGGATTTTTGGGGTGCCAAAAGAGAACGAGCAGGATATTGAAGGCCTATTGAAAGAAATAATGACAGAAAACTTTCCCTACCTGGTAAGAGAAATAGAATTACAAGTTCAGGAAGTGCACAGAACCCCAAACAAGAGGAATCCAAAGAGGACCACACCAAGACACATCATAATTAAAATGCCAAGGGCAAAAGACAGAGAGAATCTTACAAGCACACATGTGATCATACTTTGTTCTTGGCATTTTATTCTCATTTCACAGATGAAGAAAATTAGTTGTAGGCTCAGAGCTTGTCCAAGTTAGTAATTAATAATCTCTAATTGAAGCTAATAATTAGTAAATACATGTGCTAAATGTTATGCATTAATTACAATCTCATTTAATATTTAAAATAATAATGCAATGCAGTTACTTCTATTATACCCATCTATACGAATAAAAGCCTAGGTGGTCCTTGTGCCCTCATGTGATCCCTTCATGTCATCACAAGATGGCCACCGCAAGATGGTCAGCAGGGGAGAGCAGTTGGTGGTGACCAGGCCAGCAGGGGAAGGCAGTTGGGGGCTATCAGGCCAGCAAGAGAGGGCAATTGAAGGCCATCAAACTGGCAGGGGAGGGAAATTGGGGGCCATCAGGCTGGCAGGAGAGGGCAGTAATGGGTGATCAGACTGTTAGGGGAGGCAGTTGGGGGCAACCAGGCTGGCAGGCAGAAGTGGTTAGGGGCAAACAGGCAGGCAGATAGATGAGTGGTTAGGAGCCAGCAGTTCCAGATTATGAGGGGAATGTTCTAAACCAGCAGTTTGACATTCCCCAAGGGTCCCAGATTGGAGAGGGTGCACGCACGCTGGGCTGAGGGACCTTCCCCCTGCCCCTGCACAAATTTTGTGCACCTGGCCTCTAGTTTTAAAGATAAAGAACCTGAGGCTCAATTCACTTACCGTAAGTGAATTGACCAAGACCACATAGCATGGAGGGGGTGAATCAAAATCTAATACAGCTATATATGAGTCTGCAGCTCTTTTCTTCAACTCCAAGGCACTTCCCAAAGTAAAGTGTGGTGAGAAATACATTTCAGATTCCAAGGCAGAAATGTACCCTCTTCAAAGCCCTTAATAATTCCCATGTAGTCTCCTACCCCAGCCCCTAGAATCCTTTATTGCATATATACCTCCACATGTCTATCTCTGCATATACTACTATACCTCCACATGCCTGCCTTTTTCTGAAAATGTTAAATTATGTAAGCTCCTTGACAGAGAGAACCATGGTTTACTTATATTTTTGACTCTAGACCAGCGGTTCTCAACCTGTGGGTCACGACCCCTTTGGGGGTTGAACAACCCTTTCGGAAAACACATTTTTCTATACCATGGGAACTTAATTGGGATACTGATCAGTCTTTTTATATTCAGCTGTGGTTGATGTGAATACTGCCCCCTTGTGATAGTAACAGGTACGTAAAAACAACAACACAGAGAATGGTAAATCACAGGAAACTTTAATGAACTGTATTGACTGAACTATGCCATGTATTATCTTTTGTGTTATTCAAACTATTGTTACATATTATTTTCATTAGCAAACCATCCCATGACAATGGATTGTGTAGAGAACATTAAGAAAAGAAAATATAGTGGGGATTTTTTACAGTATGGTTTTACCTCAATAAATACAGCAAGAATTGAGAAACCGCAATGTGTTATTTGTAGTGAAGTTCTATCAGCCGAATCTATGAAGTTGAACAAACTAAAATGCCATTTTGTTAGCAAGCATCCGAGCTTTGCTGGCAAGGATACCAACTATTTTAGAAGCAAAGCTGATGGACTCAAGAAAGCCAGACTTGACACTGGTGGCAAGTACCACAAACAAAACATAGCAGCTGTTGAAGCTTCATATTTGGTGACACTCGGAATTGCCAGAACTATGAAACCTCACACCATTGCTGAAGATTTACTGTTGCCAGCTGCCAAAGACATTGTTTGAGTTATGATCGGAGACAAATTTGTTATGAAATTGAGTGCAATTTCCATATCTAACAACACTGTCCACAGAAGAATAGATGGCATGTATGCTGGTATTCTTGATCAGGTAATCCAGAATATTAAATCTGCTCCACTTCCAATATTTAGTATCCAACTTGATGAATCTACAGGTGTTGCAAACTGTTCACAGTTACTGGTTTACGTGAGGTATATTAATGAATACAACTTTAAAGATGAGTTTCTTTTTTGCAAACCTCTTGAAATGACAACTATTACACGTGATGTATTTGACACAGTTGGTTCATTTCCGAAAGAGCATAAGATCTCTTGGGAAAAGGTTTGTGGTTTTTACACAGATGGTGCTCTAGCTATGCTGGGATGTAGATTGGGATTTCAACGTTTGGTATTGAATGAGTCACCAAAAGTCATCGGAACTCACTGTATGATTCATCAGCAAATATCAGCAATAAAGACACTGCCACAGAGTTACAAGAAGTAATGAAAAGCACCATAAATTCTGTCAAATTTGTAAAGGCAAGCACTTTAAATAGTCGACTGTTTTTGCAACTGTTCAACGAGTTGGATGCGCCGAACAATGCTCTACTATTTCACACTGAAGAGAGATGGTTGTTGAGAGGAAAAGTTTTAAAACGAGTTTTTGAGCTTCGTGCTGAACTCAAAAAGTTTTTAAATCAGAAAGCACGACCACAGTTCAAAGCACTTTTCAGTGATAAAAGTGAACTGCAGAAAATAGCTTACTTGGGCTGAAACCGGTTTGGCTCAATGGATAGAGCGTCGGCCTGCAGACTCAAGGGTCCCGGATTCGATTCCGGTCAAGGGCATGTACCTGGGTTGCGGGCACGTCCGCAGTACGGGGTGTGCAAGAGGCAGCTGATCGATGTTACTCTCTCATCGATGTTTCTGGCTTTCTATCCCTCTCCCTTCCTCTCTGTAAAAAATCAATAAAATATATTTTTAAAAAAAGAAAATAGCTTACTTGGTTGACATCTTTGCCATCTTGAATGAGTTACATTTATCACTGCAAGGACCAAATGCAACATGCCACAATTTGTCAGAAAAGATCCCATCATTGCAAATAAAACTTCAGCTTTGGGGGGGAAAATTGGATGAAAATACAATTTACATGTTGCCTATCTTATCTGCTTTCTTTGAGGAACATGATATTGAACCAGACAAAAGGATTATGATGATAATTTCTGTGAACCCTTGTACACGCTTTCAGACAAAATTTCATCGTACTTTCCAAATCTACCTGACACCTTGTTTGCACTTGCCAGAAGCCCATTCACAGTCTAAGTTGAAGATGTTCCTGAGACAGCACAAGAGTTCATTGAACTCATTAACAGTGATGCAGTGAGACCTTATTTCTCTACAATCCCAGTTACAAAATTCTGGACCAAGTGTTTGCAGTCATATGGTATTCTGTCTGATACTATGTTGTTCTTTCTTCTTCCATTTTCAACAACATATCTTTGTGAAACAGGGTTTTCCAGCTAGTTGGTTATCAAGTGTAAATACAGAAGTACACATGTTGTGGAAGATGATCTTTGTTGTGCTCTTGCAAAGACTGCCCCAAGAATTTCTGATCTGGTGAGAAAGAAGCAATCTCAACCTTTACACTGACGTTGGCTTTTTAAATTGTATTTATTTATTTTTCACTTTTTAATTAAGGTATTATATGTGTACATATCTTACCATTGCCCCTTCCACCCCACTCCCATACATGCCCTCACCCCCCAGTGTTTTGTGTCCATTGGTTATGCTTATATGCATCCAGGTTGCTGAAAATGGTAAGAATTCATTTTTATGGCAGCATAGTATTCCATTGTGTAGATATACCATAATTTTCTGATCTAGTCATCTGCTGACAGGCACCTAGGCTGTTTCCAAATCTTAACTATTGTAACTGTTGCTGCTATGAACATAGGGGTGCATATATCCTTTCTGATTGGTGTTTCTAGTTTCTTAGGATATATTCCTAGGAGTGGGATTACTGGGTCAAATGGGAGTTCCATTTTCAGTTTTTTGAGGAAACTCCATACTGTTCTCCACAGTGGTTGCACCAGTCTGCATTCCCACCAGCAGTGCATGAGTGTTCCTTTTTCTCTGCATCCTCGCCAACACTTGTCATTTGTTGATTTGTTGATGATAGCCATTCTGGCAGGTATGAGATGGTACCACATTGTCGTTTTGATTTGCATCTCTCAGATAATTAGTGTCTTTAAGCATGATTGCATATGCCTCTTGGCCTTCCTTCTGTCTTCTTTTGAAAAGATTCTATTTAGGTCCATGGCCCATTTTTTTAAATTGGATTATTTATCTTTCTTTTATTAAGTTGTATAAGCTGCCTGTAGATGTTGGAGATTAAACCTTTATCAGTGATAACATTTGCAAATGTGTTCTCCCATATAGTGGGTTTTCTTGTTGTTTTGTTGATGGTTTCTTTTGCTATAAAAGAGCTTTTTATTTTTGTCCATACTACCCAAGGCAATATATAGATTTAATGCACTCCCCATTAAAATACCAACTGCGTATTTCACAGTCCTAGAAAAAACTCTCCAAAAATTCATCTGGAATAAAAAGACCCCAATAGCCATGGTAATCCTGAGAAAGAAAAATAAAGTAGGTGGGATCTCAGTACCATATTTCAAGCTGTATTACAAAGAAACTGTTCTCAAAACAGCCTGGTACTGGCACAAGAGCAGACATATAAACCAATGGAATAGAATAGAGAATCCAGATATCAACCCAAATCACTATGCTCAATTAATATTTGACAAAGGAGGCATGAACATATAATACAATGGAGTCAAGACAGTTTCTTCAATAAATGGTGTTGGGAAAATTGGACAGATATATGCAAAAAAATGAAACTAGACCATCAACTTACACCATACACAAAAATAAACTCAAAATGGATACAAGACTTAAACATAAGACAGGAAACAATAAAAATACTAGAGGAATCTACAGGCAGCAAAATCTCAGACATATGCTGAAAGAACTTCTTCACTGATACTGCCCCTAGAGCAATGGAAGCTAAAGAGAAAATAAACAAAAAATAAACAAATAAACTACATCAAAATAACGTTGGCTTTTTACGCATACTGTCACAAAATGTAGCAATGTAGTTTACTGTTGTTATATTAAGACTTACCCATGCTACACCATGCTTTAAGACAAAATTTCATTTATTTGTAATTAGAAATAAATATTTCACAATATATAATCACATATTGTTTGTGATTAATCCTATGCTTTAATTATGTTCAATTTGTAACAATAAATACATCCTGCATATCATATATTTACATTACAATTCATAATAGTAGCAAAATTACAGTTACGAAGTAGCAAATAAAATATTTTTATGATTAGAAGTCACCACAACATGAGGAACTGTATTAAAGGGTTGAAGCATTAAGAAGGTTGAGAACCACTGCTCTAAACTTTGCTATGAGGTGGGAACACAACTGATGTCTGGTGTATGGATGATGGAAGTTAGAAATTGCATTAAATCTTATGAATAATTCTCTCCTCACTAAGGGGGCTGGACCCAGGAATATTTGAGAGCCCTCTCTTATCTGTGCCCCACCAGGCTGGGCTGGCTCTCTTTGACACCACATCACAATCACTGGTGTGCTGGATACAGTTTGCCCTGGTTCATCGGAGTCAATTGTTAAATTTTCAGAATTTTGTAAGCCAGTTGTTAAACTGTTCATAGCTTGATATCAACCATGGCAGGTATACACTGAGTGGCCAGAATAATGTGTGTGTTTGTGTGTTTGTGTGTGTTTGTGTGTGTTTGTGTGTGTTTGTGTGTGTTTGTGTGTGTGTGTGTGTGTATAGGCCTGATGGAGTTCAGCCAGCCTGGCCAGGGGGAGGTGACATGGGCTGTTGGCCACCTGCCTACTGGTCAAACTCCTGGTTGAGGGGACAATTTGCATATTAGCCTTTTATTATAGGATATACACTGAGTGACCAGATTATTTTTCCAGAGATAATAATAATCTAGCCACTTGGTGTATTTATACCACAAAAATGGACAAATGCTACAAAGCACAACACCTCTACACATACAGAACTGGTTATTAAACATTTACCAGCACATCACTAACCCCAAACAGCCAGCTGCAGTACTTTGGTGCATGTAAATAAAGAACCCCAAGGGGAAGGGGAAAAATTGAGCCTTCTGGGGTCTGAAATGTATATGTTGTTCTGTGTGGTGGTTACACACAGATGTATACATATGTAAAATTTCACTGAGCTGCACATTTACAACTAGTACACTTTATGTAATATAATGTATATATGTTTTCCTCAATAAAAAAGAACTCCCAGCCCAGCTAAAGTGGCTCATTTGGTTTAGTGTCATCCTGTGCACCAGATGGTTGCTCACTTGATTTTTGGCCAGAGCACATGGGTTTTAGGTTTGGTTCCTGGTCAGAGATCGTATGAAAGGCAGTCAATGGGAATGGGTTTGTTCTCTCTCTCTCTCTCTCTCTCTCTCTCTCTCTCTCTCTCTCTCTCTCTCTCTCTCTCTTTTTCTTTCTCTCTCTCCAACCTCCCTGTCTCTCTAAGCCTGTCTTTTAGGTGAGAATTTTTTAAGAAGTTTTTAAAAAAATAACTCCCAGACTATGCAAAGAGCTATGGAGTGTTCCTGCAGGGGCTCCACTTATCAAGATGAGCCATACTGATCTGGTCACAGGTGATACAGCCCAGTTCAGTGCATTATCCATTGCACAGGAGGGGCAAAGGTGGTCCATACAGCTGCTGGCATCAGGAACCCAAACCCTTTACTTATTTCCTTCATTATAGTTGCTATCATCTCTCAAGCACATTTTTCCTGGCTATGTGGCTAAGAATGGTTCTGTTTGCTGAAGGGCAGCATGACTCACTACTAGGCGCGTTATTTTTCTGATTAAGTGGAGAGATGGATGGATATTTTCCCATACTTGGGCAGAAGCCTCATTCACTTGAATATTTTTACTGGAATTATTCAGCTTACATTTAAGAGGCAACTTTCTCCACTTTAAAAAATACTACAAAACCCTGTTCCCCTCAGACAATTAGACTTGTAGAAAAAATGGAGAGGAAACTAAGCACTTCTTGAAAATGTACCACAGAAGGAGAGGATACAACCTGTACTGAGCTTCTTCCCTAAAGTTGCTGTAGATGGAAAGGCCTAGCTCCCTACTTTATCTAGGATGTTGGCTGGCATTTAACCTCCCTGACACAATCCTTCTTCTCTGCTTCCTTCTTCCCAGCCAATAAGCTGAACAACTTGCCTGGGGCAACTGCTTTATGCTTCAAAGGAATGATAGGAGTTTGTAGGCAGAGCCAATGATCCCAGGCACAGCATGTGATAGGATAGAGGGCCACCCTGCTAGAACAGGAGGTCTAGCTCAGTGATAGCCTTTCTTAGGGAGGCAGGAGCAGCCACTGTGGGATTTACGGGATGGACAAGGATACGTTTGCAGAGTATCACCACCACAGCTTTAAGAAATCACACAGTGTATTAAACTCAGAAATAACCCCTCGGATAAGCCCAGCACAAGCCCAAATGCCTAGAGTGCAATGTACACAGATGTTGCTATGGGGCTTTGTTTTCCAGTAGGGTGGTGGTAGCTTCCAGCCCCCCTTCTTGATTCAGA